CATTTATTTTAATTTATTTATTTATTTTTTTGAGTTTTCAGTTGTTTTGTGAGTCAGCGTGAGGTCAAATCTTAGATCCTGGGATGTATAAATTTTTGAAGGACTTCCTTCTCCTTCAACTCGGTGATACCACAAAGTAACTTTTTTTAAAAATAATTCAATAACCCTTCTTTCGCACAAGATATAAAAAATATAAATACTTTAAGCTTTGCATAAGCACTGCTTGTTGGAAAGTTGTCTGCCTTTTTTTTAGCTTCATGTTCAAAAAATAAAAAAACCAAGATACAGAGAGGATGAAAATATACCCAAGGCCTGAAATGAAATGTGCACCCTGTTGGCCTCTCGTCTAATTTGCATGCGCAGATTTAAGTTGTTTTCCCTTCTCAGGTTTGTCATCTTTCTAGACCTGTTTGGACTCATGACAATATGAATGAGGAAATTAATGTTCCTTTTCCAAAGCCAGCCTAAGACGGAATCAATTCTGTCCTCCAGCATCAGGTGGCAGGTCCTAACATTCATTATCGCCTGCATATGTTCCCTAATAGGGTTGGATTTGTTTTTACGAGTCAACAGAGCTGCTGCTGAATCTGAGAGAAGCATGCATTCTCCTCCAAGTGCTTTCTTTGCTAATCCCCCACCCCCACCCCTCTCTTTATTTTGGGAAGATCTCACTTGCTGGGATAATAATTTCTGCATATTTCCATAAAAATGTTAGATGAACTTAAGCTCACAAAAGACTGAATGGGATTACAGACTTCCAAGTACTTTGTAACATCAGATAAGTTAATTTTGGGTGGCTTTTGAGCAGATCTAAAACCCACTGAGAACTTTTTTTATTTGGTAAAAAAAAAAATGGTTCTCTCACGTTCAGTTAGGGATTTCTTTGATTAGGTCTAAACTTGTGGGTGATAATTCTCCAGGGGACTCATTATCTGGAATGGCAAGACCAAGTTTTTTAAAATAAAATAAGACACCAAAAACATAATTAGTTGCTAACATGTGTGGTTAGTTTATTAGGATCAACAGTTTTCTTGAGTTCCACAAAAGGCAACTTCTAGGGAAACATTTTCTTTGTCACTGCATAATTTTGAAGTACAGTGCATCTTTTTACAATGTGGTAAAAGCATAACATGCTTAAAATTAAATTTGTACTATTTTGGAGGCAACATCATGGGATTTTGAATGAGATTTTATGATATATCAGTTTTTTCAACTGCTGAAAGTTGAACTGCAAACAGGTCAGTTTTACCCCAAAACTCCTCCACTACAAAGCCAAGCTTTTTGCAATGGATGCGTTGTCTTTCCCTTACTTACACATGAACTGTGAGAAACTGGCAGGAATAAACCCAGGGCGCAGGCAGGCTCAAAAATATAACAAAAGGTTTAATAAAGGCAACAAAAAGAGGGCTGATGGCAGCAAACTTACATATAAGGAGAGTCACAGGCACGAGGAGAACAGAGCACA